GAAGCGAGCAGCACAATTGTCGTAGTGGGAGACCTGCGTCTCGCCAATCTACACCTCACAATGACCTTCGTGCGAGGCGATGAAACCTTCCATGTACTCGTCATTCTGCCACCACATCTCGGTGTATCCCGTCACGTCGACGGGGGTTGCCGTTTCGACGGAGTATCCCTATTCTGTGGCGATGGGGTCAGTCATGTCACGAAGCGACTTGTAATCCGTAGCGTTCCAGTGCTCGGTGAATACTTGCGTGTTCTGCGAGGGACTTCCATCGCATATGCTACCGGTAAAGCCCTTGTTAACTGCAGCAGTCGTAATTGCGTTGTAATGGGTGTACGGGGTGTTAGGCTGGTAGGCTGTCTTGGGCTTGGAAATGTAGGCACACGCTGAATAGGGCAGTGCAGTACAATGGATCCTGATGAGCACAGGCGACATGTTCAAGAAGCTTTACAACGTCACGCTTTTCTTCCCACTTCAATATATTGTGACGCAACGAAATGGAGAGACGACATGGCCCCGGTGTCGAAGCTGTTCACCCATACAACAGTTATTTGGGTTCCAGAATGCCTTAATGGTGGCAAGTCGGGTTGAACTACTTTAGGGTGCCTGTGTGCTTCGCGAGTGAAGGAATATATGCAACGGACAGTTGATATTATTGCCTGTAAATGTACACTTGAGATTTCCCCACATTCCCGAATTTGAGATGTTTTTCGAACCGCACTTAGCTTTACTGTGGGAAACGCATAGATTCCTGCAATTACGGTTATACAATTACATTTGTCATGAATACAGTACCGTAGTGCACCGGCAATACAGTGGCTTAGTCCTGTAATCCATGTAAAGGTGCTGTTGCATGGTTGCATGTCTTCAAAGGCAGTGGCAGACTGTGAATCTTTGTACAGTAATGGACTCCGTTTTGACCGTATAGGATTTGCAAACGCATTAGGTTTCAGCATAGAAACCCGAGTATATTTGGCAATAGAAGCATCATATCCAGGAGTTGATCAAAGGTCCGAGAGGGCGGAAAACGGGGTGCAGTATTGCATCTTATCTTAGTACACTTTCCCTGGAGGGTGTGGGGTAACAGCCTCTTTGTTTTAGCTGAAATGAATTGGTTCTTTTTTCTTAAACTTCTTTTTTATGAAGAAGTTTTAAAAAAGAACCAATTTCATTTCAGCTTTGCATTATTCGGCCCAAATAAACGATACGAATAAATATTATGGATAGTATATGGAAGTAAAACACAGAGAATACATTCACCTGTACCACGAATTGTAATCCCCATTACCCAAGTTAAGCGATACTTCCTCTGTCCTGCAACATAACACCACGTCGAAGTATAGCCTTTTAAAAGATGCTATATTGCTAGTTTAATATGTCAGAAATGTAAGTTCAAAATGTCACTAGCCAACGGAAAGATTGGCATGTGAGGTTCATAGCTCTTACTGCAATCTCCTCGGCCTTTCACCACTCTCCATCACGGCAACAGTTACCATGGTTTTATCGGCCAAGCTTAGTGGGCCTTTGAACTTAATTATTATTATCATATTCAACAAGCGATTTGTCATTCTTGAAGTTGATAAGGGATTTTAGATTTCTTACATTAGAATGGCCTTATATTGTGACAGGTTAGGGGAGCGATTCCGCAACCATTTGAAGTCGTTTGATTTCATAGATATTTTTATTTTGAACTTTAGAAAGCTCATTTTAAGACGTGCTGCGGGAATCGTTCCAGTTTCCACCAATATGTGTGGCTTTCAATCGCTGAAGGGGAAGAAGAAAGTAAAATCCGCTTACTTATAGTGAATACTTTTAATTATTCTGTATCGGTATATGCACTATTCTTTATTGTGCTTTGCATCAACTTTGGCTTATGAATAGCGCCTCTACAACAACGACAAATCTATTTCGTGGATCTAAAGCTAAAACATAACCCAACGTTAAAAATAAGTTAATCATCAGCTGCAACGCAAAACCACAGCGACAAGGCAATGCAAGGGCTACTTCTGTCCCAGCTTGATGAACTAAACAAGTGCTTGCCTGCACACTGCCCTGCTCCTTTACGGGTCAATCGGTAATTAACTAAGGTCTATTCTCATTCGAAGCGGGATGCTTTTTCTAGTATGCTACGTGTGTGTGTGTGTCAATTCGCTGTTCGGCATCACATTACATCTACGACAAAAACAGTAAACCCCAACGAGAAATAGACCGCGTCAAGACCTCCACAATGGACGCAACGACACTTAAGTCAATGTCCTAGATGTAGGTCAGCACAATAGATCTCCAACGCATATCGATAGAAACTGTCATCTTCTGGAATGTAGTTGCTCGAGCTTAAGAAAGTCTTAGAGTGTGCGACGCTGGTTTGGCGTTTTTACTACAGCCATTTAACGAAAACACTCATAAGTCAACGTTAATTCGGATTATTTTTTTTAAAGATTTCCTAAAACAACGAGTTATGCCATCGTTTAGACAGAAAGTGTGCAAAACACAATATTATCGCTACCGTTAAATGACTGCCGCGGGTTTCTTGGAGCTATTGCAGCTACGACCACATAACTGAAGTGCTAGGATTCACATGGTTATGTCTCCTTAAAGAAATGGATATGGCACGCTCATTTGCGGAGATGGACAGGCCGCTGGTTTTTTTAGTCCCCTGGTGTGAAATGCTCAATCGACGACTGGAACACCAGAACTTTTCTTTTGACCTGGACACTTGGAAGCGCCCCAAATGCAGCCATGTTCTCAACTTACATCCAGCAGAGACTAGGCGAAGTAGTTTGGAGAAAGTTCGAGAGGCGTTGGTCTTGTTGGCGGCGGTGGTTCGCGTGGATAATGCGGCAATCTACTATCTTTTGAAAAACTGTTGCGAAGTGAAGACAGATTTGTTAGGCGGAGTGGACAGCATTTTCCCACTTAATTTCGCGATTGTGAACATCGACAAGGCTGTTGGTATCAGCTCGTGGAGTTGTGTGGAACGAAGCAGAGGAACAATCCACGTAAGGAATACGTTGAAACTCTGGAGGAGATTGCTGATCTTGGCAGCAATTTGAGCCCAGACGACTCAGGCGTGGGTGCCCTAGTTTCTATTCAGCTGATTTTTCAACTAGATTCTACTGGGGACAGTGGGTGAATTTAAGGACATCATAGCAGCCGAAAAACAGATTCGAGAGCTATGAGGCACTTGCGAAAGCACACGCTCAAATGAAAGAGATCGAGTCAGGCTCACTGTGGTGCACAGTATTGCTCCAGCCTATGATGACCGATTTTCAGGAGAAGATATGTTCTGAAATGGTCGATGCTATCGATTTTGCAATTGCAAACGATGTGCTATTCAGTAAACGTGTCATATTTTTGGATATTGAGGACAATCTGATAGAGCAGCAAATGGATATTCAAGAAGAAATTCCCCCAGTTACTGACAGCTCTTTTGAACTCGTCCCGACTCGAGGCTCAACGGAGTCTTGGAATGTATGCTATAAGGTTTTGTTTGCCGTCTGAAGTTTCGAACCCTCTCCAACTTGGACGACTTAAGCTGGTGTGTTCAATCTATGAATTGTGCTTATCCGAAATCGAGTCCATGTTTTCCGCACTTGTGACAAATCATACGACCAAGGATCTCTCAATGGAATTAATTATCCAGTTGAACAACGATAGAGAAAGCAGACATTGGTGGAGATAGCTGGCGTACGGTCTTTTCACTCATCGCGCTCGTAGGAACTCCCTCATAGAACGTCTTGCTCTACGTTCCATAGCCCCCCGGATTTTGAAGACGTAGAAAACTTTAAAGTTGTGCTCTCATCTCCTCATCCAGAAGAATTTCTTACTGGAAGTCCTCACGAATTGATCGACGAAAGAGACGGGACACTTAGAACGTGTGCTCCTATTCGCTGGCAGTTTGGTGAGTTAGGCCGACACATTGGGGACTCCGGCTCACTGGTATTTGACCACCCTGTGCCCTTCATTCGTACATTCAGCGACGACAGAGAAAGTGAGTGAGTGGGCTAATGCGATGATTTCTGGCTGCCGGAGGTGTCAAGTTCGGCGCAAAGATTTGGATTTTGTCCGCGATACTGATGACTTGGATGATACCAAATCACAAGGAATAACGTCTTTGAAGATAGAAAGCGAATATACTGATGGGCTACCAATTCTGGGCCAGCTGGTGCTGAGTAAGATTTTTGAGTTTGCGGCTCCCCCAGTTCTAAGACAAGTGCTCTTCTGGTCGGAACAATGTTTGATCAATGCTAATGCATGAATTGGCAACAATACTGAGCTACAATACCATGAGTTTTATCATCAAAAAAAATTCTTTGAAACGGATATTATAAGACTGTAGTACGTGAGCTGGTAGTATT